TCATCGGCTAATCCAATCAAGCGCAGCGAATGCCCAGTGACATGAATGTTTAGTGTGTGTACGTGTACGTGTGTGTGTGTATGTGTGTGTGTTGGAAAGTTGTGTGTGTGTTGGGAGTTGTGTGTGTGTGTTGGGAATTGTGTGTGTTCAACGCCCTCGACTGTGCTCTTACCTAAGAAGAAAGAAACATAGAGACGCTATGGAATACATATTTCTATCATTTTCCTTTTTAGAGCGCAGCTCTTAGGGGCCCGTTCCCGGCTTGAGCGGCGTCGCCGTCGCCGTCCCAAGGTCATCCCAAGGTCACTTGACCCCCAAGGTCATCCCAAGGTCACGTGACCCCAAGGTCACGTGACCCCTCCCCAAGGGTCACGTGACCCCAAGGTCACGTGGCACACAAGGTCACGTGACTCCCCAAGGTCACGTGACCCCAAGGTCACGTGACACCCGAAGTCACGTGGCTCCCCAAGTCACGTGACCCCCGGGGTCACGTGACCCCCGATGACATCATCAGTGACGTCACTGATGACGTCACCGGCATCCGCATCGTCAGCGTCATCATCACTGATGACGTCATCAGTGACGTCACTGATGACGTCACCGGCATCCGCATCGCCAGCGTCATCATCACTGATGACGTCACCGGCATCCGCATCGCCTTCGTCATCATCACTGATGACGTCACCGGCATCCGCATCGTCATTGTCATCATCACTGATGACGTCATCAGTGACGTCACTGATGACGTCACCGGCATCCGCATCGTCATCGTCATCATCACTGATGATGTCACCGGCACCCGCATCGTCATCGTCATCATCGCTGATGACGTCATCAGTGACGTCACTGATGACGTCACCGGCATCCGCATCGTCATTGTCATCATCGCTGATGACGTCATCAGTGACGTCACTGATGACGTCATCGGTATCCGCATCGTCATCGTTACTGATGACGTCATCGGCATCGTCACGTGACCCCCACCCAAGGTCACTTGACCCCCCCAGTACCCTTCCCTCCTCCTCAAGAGCTGCGCTCTAATTCGGCGTTACAGGGAGTTGTAAACGGCTTTCACTTCTTTTTGTATACTTTTCTAAATATTAAAATAGATTAAAGATTAAATATTAAATTTTTTTTTGTTAAGTTCATCTTGGCGCAGGTGTGGCCCAATTCTTAGCGAAAATTGATTTTTATGAGAAGATGTAGCAGATTTTCGTTCACGGCGCAATTCTGGCTCCGAGTTGAGAGGATGAACGATTCTCATATCAAATACTTTGCTAAAAAAATAGACGCTTTAAACACGCGCCAAATTCAGCCGCCATTGCTGACCTTCTCAATTGTCTTACCGAGATGCCGAGCCACTGAAGCGGGCGTTGACGAGTTTCCACAAAGGCCTATGCTGGCGAGAAGGACGCAGTAGCACCTGATGTGGCAATAACCTGTCCTGCTGCAGCAATGATGAAGTGAAGTGAACGGAGTAAGAGGGAACAAAAACTGAAGGTCGGTTATGGCGGCGCCCATGCACAGCTCCCTGAAAGCCGTCTATACGGGACACTCTCGTCATTTTGGATTAGACAGCACGACGACAGCGCCATAAACCACCCTTGGTGGTGTGGTTTATTTGGCGACGCCTCTTTCGGCTACCCGCCTCATCTCACCACCAGAGCACGTGACCAGGCGGCGCCTCGGAATGCGGAGCGGTTGACGGGGTCGCGGATGCGAAGACGGTACCGCTGCTAGAGTGTACTAGAAGGACCGAGTGGGGCGACCGGAGTGCTATTTAGGTACCTCCGCATGTGGGAAAAACCGGCTAATTCAAGCCACTTCGCTCGTAGCGCCCTCTCGGGCACTACGAGCGAAGCGGTTCGGATTAGCCGTTTTTTATGAAAAACGCGTTGCGTTCCAACGCCAATATTGACCGGCCCACTGGTCGAGGTCATGGAAGCAATAGAACGCCGGGCTACCTTTGTTATGCAACCTACGAAGGTGGCGCTTCGATCGAAGTGGCTTGGGCCCACCTGATCGCTTTCCACATTTTGAGGTGCAACTGAAAGCATCAGCGGAGCCTGTAGCTCGTCCCACTTGTTCTTTCTAGTACACTCTACCACTGCCGCCGTCACGCGTGCTTCCGCAGATCTTCGTTGTCGTCCTTTTCGATGCATTCTGGGTGTGTGTCCTGTATGCCCCTAGTAAAGTGGGGGTTCGGTGGCCGAGTGGGCTAGCGCACGCCATATCAGGGCACGTGGAGAGAAAGCTCGCGCTGCAGAACCTAGTAATCCTGGGTTTAATCCCCACCCCTGCCCGTTTCGATCTGGATGAGCATCGTACCGGCGTGCGGTCGTGTATCACAACTGCGTGGTGCACGTTAAATGCCCCAGGCTAGCTGTCGTACTGCACTGGCTAGATTGCTTATCTACAGTGGTTAACAATGTCGCCATGTTCTGGCAAACTAACTTCCTGCTGTATAAACAACTAACGACTAATTTGACTTTGACTTTTTGACTTTGGCCTAATAAAGTATTTGCTGGAGGAGAAAGAAGTGTTGCCTAGTTTAATTGTGTTTCCAAACCGCTCCTGGTTTTTTGGGACGTGTTCACACAGCACCAACGGTTTTTACCACTTCTGGGGTCACGTTCTCGAAGCTAGACTCTACTTCTTCAAGAACATCACGTCTCGGGGCAACCTGGGTGCCAACACGGCTAGCTATGGTCTCGGCGAAGGCTGAGCCAATGGACGCCTTCGAATTTGCGGTTCTAACTGAAGAGACCGCTGCGAAAGACCACGCTTACCATATCATCCCGCCGAGTCAGCGACCCCACGCCCCTGCTGAGCGACGGATTGACACAACCGACGACTCCATATCACAAGAGTCCACACCAGTCGAACTGAACCTCAGCAACTGCGATTCAATGGATGCATCCCAGGCAGAGGAAGACGACGAAGGATTTATCCTAGTCGAATATGGCAGTGGAGAAGGAGGATATCCTTTTCCCTTTTTTTTTAAACTATACCTTCCTGAAATGTCTGGGCACTAGGATCGCTATGGCAGGGGGCTATCGCTTGCCCCCTTAACCCATCATGAAACTAAAACGGTTCGCGTTCCATTAACTTACGAGCGGCCATGACAAACTTTCAGGCGAGAGGCTCGTGCTGGGGCTCGTAGGGTGCATGCGCGTTCAGTGACGTCCTTTTATAGTTCCTACCCTTGACGTCAGGGTCAGGAATTATCAGTTGTGAACGACAAATTATATGGTGCGTGTTCGTATCGGCGGTGACAAGTTTGATTGTGTACAATGGAAGCTTGGACTCATCGCGTTCTTAAACAAAGAAACAAACATCACCGTCAATAGTGCCAACCTGACATTATTCTTATTTTTGTATATTAAAGCAAAATTAATCCCAGTTTGACCAATCTTGGCAAGCCGACCACAGCGACGCTTTTGCTTGCCTATGTGGACAATATAGTCACGACTTAGAAAAAAACATCAGTAAAATTACTTCATCCCTAGCTCTGATGGAGGGGACAACTGCTTGGAGGCGAAATCCGCCCGGAAGCGGACAATGCTACTTGGCTGGTTCTGACCTAGAAACGTCGGGCTACATTTGGATTATATCCAAAATGCCAAGAGAGATGAAAGGAACTAAAAGGAACGGCAGGGACATTTTACAGCAAAGGTGTTTTTGGCTAGGTTTCCGTAAATCTTTCGTGTGCGTGACCAAAAACTCTACGCTCGCACCGCCTTCCCCTCATAAAAGATTATAAGTAAATAACCAAAATAAAGCGTTGACAAAACGCGCGTGCAACATGCCATTTGTTTTAGGCTTTTGCTTTAGAACACTTATTGCTGCAGACTCCGGCACATTCAGCGCGTGGAACACCATTCCCTGCAATATCCTTGATGCTTGGGTAATTTAGGAATAGGTCTCTTCAGTAGATTAGTTATCAATAGGCATCCTTTTCAAGATCAGTAGACTCTCAGGTAGATAATAAAGGTTTTCAAAGATTCGCCTCTGTGTGACCCGCGTCAGTCATGTCCACACTCGCACCGCCCTCTCTTTATCGTCGTTCCAAGCGCTTGCGCGCCTAGTTTCCTGCCGCTCTCCCGGGGTACGGTGGCTATAGGGGTAGGTCTGGGGTAGGTGTACCGAGCACTCAGCGTTTTTGGGTAGTTCCACGTACCGCCGCTTCATGACGAAAAAGTGTCGCTGTAGCCAGGATACCGGTGCATTTCTGCTGAAAGGGGCATGGCGTGAAGCGTCACGGGGCACCAGAGCGTCTCGCACTCCGCGTGCTCATGCAGGACACACTTCTACGCTTGGTGCCATTGTGCGCCGCCCGATGGCACCAGGCGCCGGGGACCGGTGCCACCGGCGTCATGAACATGGCATGCTATCGATTTTCTGTTCGGCACACCTCCCCTTATAGCCACCATACCCGGGGTGGCGGTCTCGTAGCGCGTGTCTACTTTCCTCCGGGTGGCGGTCCCGCTGCTCGTGTCTATTTTACTCCGGCTCGGCGGGTTTGTGTCGTGTGCTAAACAGCTTCGCTGGTCATTCACCTTCACAGAGTTGAATGGCTCATGATTTTTCAGTAAATTCTGCTTTGTTGGCGAAAATAAGAACAATATCAGACTTTCAACTTTGACGTTGTTGATCTTAGAATGCAATTTTCCCAAGCCTCCGCTGTGCTTTTTAGAGACCATCGAACATGTTGGTCGCAGTTGATAATCTTTGTCGTGACGTCACACCTATGAACCACGGTCATCTCCGTGCGCTCTCATGTGCTGCTCTTGTTCGGTGCCTAGGAAGGGGTAGGGAATTTTCGCCCCTTCAATAAAAAACGTCGCAAAGAAAAACTAATCTGCAGGCTTGTGAGAAAAGAAAATTTCGCGGCTATCTTTCGGCTTCTCCCCTCACTATGTCATAATACAAAGAATCTTTGCGTTTGACGAGATTAGCCATCCTGGGGGCTTCAAATGAATCACTTATCACCTCACGAGATGACAGGACTCAGTAGTGGGCTTTCTTCTCAAGACGCCATCATAGATCTACTAAGTTCAATTGAACAGAGTCACCAAGACAACAAATCGACATTAAAGGTATTTGTTGACATTACAAAAGCCTATGGTAATGTTGATCCAGATGGTGTTGTTGAAAGGTTGACAGCCATCGGCATCACGGGTAAAGTTCAGGAGTTTCTACGAGGCATCCTCACCAACCGAACGCTCAAAGTTCGATTAGGTGCGTCGTTCAGTACATCTCGCAACTGTGCTCAAGGACTACCGCAATAAATCGTACTTCTGGCCCAGTTACGAACATTTCTTCCTAGGTACACTCTTCCCATCAATATATCGCTGTATGCAGATGACATTTACATATGGGTTTCAGCACATCGACATCATGGTCTTCGAAACGCCATCCAAACAGCCAACACGGAGCAAGAAACTATTTGCATGACTGTGGTTTGCAGTTCTCACCAGAGAAAACTGCTTTCATACTTTTTCCGGGGAAGAACCGGCACACACGAAAATTATTTTGACTCTTTATAACGTCCCCCTGCGCCGCTTTCGCCAACACTAATTCTTAGGAATCACATATTAAACTGCCGCCTCAACTGGGGTGCGCCAGTTGAGGCGGGAGTTTAATGAGACGGGACAGTCATGTGGCAGGACAATCATGGAGGAACTCGCCAAGCTCTGTGATACGTGTCCATTCATCCCCAATTGTCAATCGTATTTTATATTCATTACCTTTAAGTAGATTATCGCCAACAGACTCTCGAGCTCTAGAGCGCATGCATCGACAAGGCCTACATACGCCTAGGAGTGCCAAGATCAACGAAGACTGAAAATGTATATCAGGAAGCCCGAGCTCTGACTTTACCACTTATGGCTACCAAATGGCTTCTTTTTCAACAGATTCGTTTGTCTAACACGTCTGCAGGAAGGAAAAGAAGGAACCTCCTACGCCGACTTCGAACCAGGCAACACTCGCGCTTTTCTATCTCTACGCAAACTCTTCAACATCTTGGATGGACACCAGAGTTACTGCAAGACCAAGACAACCCACTATCAACTCCCCCCTAGACCGTCTACTGCCCGAAATATAACTGCCGCATCCCCGGTGTAAACAACAAATTCGGCGCCAACTCAACTCTCATAAAACTAAAAACTAATGAATACTTTTCGAGAAGATGCGCCAACCACCTGGAGGTGTAAACGAACGGGTCAGTAAATCGAAGTTGAAGAAGCAGCAGTTCCGCCTACTATGCACCTACTTTACAGCTCGAAGCGGACAACTAGATGAGATTGTGTCATAAACGACTGAAATGCATGCTATTCTAAAAGCCCAGTATATGATAAGCAAACTGACACAACAGGCAATTCTTGTCCTAACGGACTATCGTGCTGCACTTCAACAGCCCCAAAGGCCTCGACAAATGTCACAAGTCGCAAAGGCTGCTATCGCCTCGCCAGTGGGCGAGGCGATAGCAGCGAGGACAGTATGCTCAACCGCTGTGTGCTTCTTTCGCAGTTCTTCGTGTCCCTCGCTGTTCCTGTGTACAATGCTACCGCGGCGCACGGATACCAGCTACTGCCGGCGCTTCCTGCTTCGTCAACTGTTCCTTGCTGCGTGGTCGACCCGTCTTGTTCGTCCACGGACTTCCTTGCCAGCGGAATTGAGGATGTTCACGGTTTCCTTAACGGCCTACAAACCGTGAATCTGCAAGTCACCCCCGTCGGTGATGCCCTCCTGGATCGTCCAATCATTGAAAGGCCCAGTTCTGTGACGTCGGTTAACGAGGATAGAAAAGCTTCACCGGCATCTTTCCTCTTCAGTGGGCGAGGCGATAGCAGCGAGGACAGTATGCTCAACCGCTGTCTGCTTCTTTCGCAGGTATGTTACCTTCAGAACGCTCATTGTGTACGGTCCGATAATCGCTTTTTACTGCTATTCCCTCGCCCACATGAATTCGATCACGGTATTTGTTGTTTTGTTGACCTGTGCTCTCAGCTGGTGTATTGCATCAATAGCCTTCTCCTTAGTGGAGACGTTGAAACGAATCCAGGACCACCAAAAAAAGACAACAAAAAAACAAAACAAGATAACGTAGTTTCGGTTACAGAGGACTCGAGGGCTGCTAATTCGGGTGAGAGCGATAATGACGGAAGAGATATCGAGAGACAACCCACAGTTTCGGATATGTTTGCTGAATTGCTGGCTGGCCAGAAAAAGATGGCTCAGGACATAGCTGAAATCAAATTATTCCAACAGTCAGTTAACTCCCGATTTGACGCTCTTGAAGCACGAGTGGCTGCCCTCGAGTCGCCTTCTGCCACGCCAAGTGTCCCTTGTACATCTTGTGACAATCTGCTTATAGAGCTTAAGTCATTGTCTGGTGCGGTAGACAGACTCGTCGCGAGGAATGACGACATGGAAAACCGTTCGCGCAGAAATAATCTAATCTTATATGGCCTCACCGAAAGCGCAGACGAAACTAGTGAGTCATTACTCTCTAACGTATCAAAAATATTCTCGGATAAACTGATTATTGACTGCCCACGTATTGAAAGGTGCCATAGAATAGGTCGAAAACACGACGATCGTTCACGTCCTGTCATTATGAAACTCCTTGATTTTCGCGAAAAAATGGAAGTATTGAAAAATTCTTTCAAGCTTAAGGGTTCAGATATTCGTATATCGGAAGACTTCTCTGTTCATGTCCGTTCTGTTCGAAAGAAAATATGGGATGCGACGGCCTCTTTCCGTGACAGTGGCTCCTCCGTTCGCCTTCGATATGATCATGTGTTCATCAATAATGAGCGATATAATTGGGATGTTAAAACTAATACTCTGGTTAAGTGTTCCGACTACTTCGCCCAGTCTACTACCACCGCCCCATCTACTGGTGGTCGTTGACTCGGCCGCGGTTTAAAAGACGGTTTAAGTGAAAATCTTTGTGTCTTGAATGTTAACGCCAGAAGTTTAGTAAACAAGTTCCCCGATTTTCTGTCACTAATTTCTTCCCACTCTGCTCACATTATTGGAGTCACTGAAACATGGTTACATGATGGCATATACGACACCGAAATTACACCCTCTGGTTTCTGCGTGGTTAGAGGTGATAGAAAGTACGGGCGTGGCGGTGGCGTCGCACTCTTTTTAAAGTCCAATATTAAATTTTCAGTTATACAGGGTCCTCCCCAGATTGAATCAGTGTGGTGCAAACTTAATGTGGATAATATATCTTTAGTTGTTGGCGTTGTCTACCGCCCTCCCGGCTCTCCCATTGATCAGTTACATGTTTTATGTGACTTTATGTACGAGCATAACCTGTCTTCTTCCAATTTAATATTAATGGGTGATTTCAATTTACCTGGCATCCAGTGGTCGTCTTTGTCGCTATCTGGTCCTGACGTTCAAATATCTAGAGAGTTAGTGAACTTTTCTTTGTCATTTGGTTTAAAACAGATTGTTCAGGAGAGCACGAGAGAGTCGTCAGTTTTAGATTTGGTATTTCTTAGTATACCTCTTCTAGAAAACCATTTTGAATGTGAAGTCGTTGACGGTATATCAGATCACAGGGCAGTCTTTGTTTCTGTTGCTTATCCTGTCCCTAAAACACGTTTTGTTTACCACACTTTTCCTGATTTTAACCGTGCCGATGATGTGTCCATAATTGACTCATTAAGCTATTCCTTTGAAGTGTTTGAACAACTTAGTATCTCCAGTGACGTGAATGTACTCATTACATTTTTTGATGACTTGGTTAAATCGTGTATCCAGCGATTTGTGCCACTCAAAACTAAAAAAAGTAACATTGTCAAACCTTGGATAACAAGAGAATTATTACATTTATCGCGACGGGTCGGCAGACTGCGGAGTGGAAAACGTTGCGCTGACCCAGTAAAGTCTGCTCAGTTTATTCAAGCTAAGGAGGAACTCCGACTAAAAACTAATTCCGCGAAGGACTTCTATTTCCGTGTTACCTTACAAAACTTAATAAAATGCAACCCTCGAAAATTCTGGAAATCTATTTTACCAGGCAGCACAATTTCAAACTCGTTTATAATTAACGACGTAACTACTATGGACGCGCTGACAATCGCTACAGCGTTTAATACGTACTTTCAGTCAGTATTTACAGTTGATAATTTGGAAGTTCCTCCTTTTACTCATGTTTCGCAGTCTGCGGTTGACGACATAGATGTGAACGTTCGGGGCGTACTAAACCTGATTTTGAAGTTAGACACTAAAAAAAGTCCTGGTCCTGATGACATTCCTAATTCATTTATTGTCAGGTACTCCCAATGGTGCAGTCGGTATCTCACGGTTATTTTTCAGAAATCACTGTCAACGGCCACAGTTCCTTCATCATGGAAACTCGCAAAAATTATTCCCGTATACAAATCTGGCAACTCACAATCACTGTCAAACTATAGACCAATTTCTATAACGTAACATTCATGCAAATTATAGGAACATATAGTCTACAGGCATGTAATAGAGTTTCTCGATACTAACAATATTTTATGCGATTTCCAACATGGTTTTCGACGCGGTTATAGTACTATGACACAACTAACAGAGTTTGTTCATGATATCGGTCTGTCTCTTGACATCGGTAACCAAGTTGATGCGATATTTATAGATTTGTCAAAGGCTTTCGACACCGTTCCTCATTCTAAACTCCTACACAAGCTTAACCTAATTCTAAATAATCATCACCTTGTGAACTGGATATCCAGTTTTCTTTCCCAACGGTCTCAGTTTGTCTACTTTAACTCATCCAAGTCTAGTACAGTTGACGTATCATCAGGTGTTCCACAAGGGTCAGTTCTTGGACCGCTACTTTTCTTGTTATATATCAATGATTTGCCACGCTGTATTTCCACTAAGGTTCGACTTTACGCTGACGACTGCGTACTATATCATGTGATAAACTCCTCAGATGACCATATAACTCTTAACAATTCTTTCGTGAATTTTTGTACGTGGTGTAAAACCTGGCAAATGAACCTGAACTTTAGTAAAACGGTTTTTATGACCTTTTCTAGGCGTTCATCACCTTCTGTGTTTAATTATTCATTTGACGGGTTATGCCTAGAAAGAGTTTTTGAATATAAATATCTTGGCCTCCTTTTCACGCCTGATTTATCTTGGTCTAAGCACATTGATACGACATGTAACAAATCTCTTAAAAGACTTGGATACCTGCGGCGTACCTTACGTGTGGCACCACAAGATACTAAGCTTTTAACTTTTAAAACTTTGATTCGCCCAATCCTCGAATATGGTTCTATTATTTGGTTTCCCTACAAAGAGTCCGATATCAAAAAGGTCGAATCAGTACAAAAGAAATCGGTACGTTTTATTTGTCGTCGGTATGACAGAAACTTTTCTCCTTCTTCTAATCTTTCCGTGTTAGGCCTAAGACTTCTTTCTGAGCGTCGTGGTATCGAGCGCCTAAAGTCTCTGTATTTCATGGTTAACTCATCACGTTTTGACTCGTTACATAACTACATAAAGTTTCTCGAGCCAACTGCAACTAGGAGCCACCATGAATTAAACATTTTACCTTTTCATCCTCGTACTGATATGTTTAAATACAGTTTTTTTCCTCACACCATTGAACGCTGGAATTTATTACCAGGAAACATCCGATCACTACAACCAGATGAATTTCTGTGTGCCGTTGACAGTGGTCCACAGTGATGTCCGGACCGTCTGTGTTTACCTCCCACTCCTGCCATAGCCCCAGTGGGGCTGCAGTATGTATAAATAAATAAAATAAAATAAATAAATAAAATAAATCAATTTCAAGCTCACTAGAAGCAGACGCTTTCGAAATCTCATTTCAGTGGGTACCAGCTCATGTCGGATTACATGGAAACGAAAAGGCAGACCAACTTGCCTCCAACGCACGCAACCTTCCCTCAGCATGAAGACGCAAAATGATCCTAAAAAATATCATGAAATTATAAATGAACACATCTGTGATTTATCCATAGCGCACTATTCCCTTATTCAGCCGTGTCTAACAGGATGTCTTCGACGAGCAGAGGCCACACTTATGTTCCGTTTACGTACAGGAAACTTACTCCACCGCTCGAAAAAAACGCGATACAGACGCCTGTAACGTATACGATGTTACCGAATATATTAACCATATCCTATATTCCGTTTCACAATAACTTGGCGAACTGTGGAGGCTATGGCCCCGCGACCCAATAAGAGCGTCGGAGCGAGGCACGTGACGCCACGTCGCGGGAGCGTTTGTGTCCATGCGCCAAATGGGAGGCACGGAGAACCGGCTGTCGTCTGGCTGGCCAAGAGTCGTCTGCTGCGAAACCAACCAGCTTCGGATGAACGTTCACCGCTGCAGCATTGCCGTCCGCTAAATTAGCGAGTACTTCGGGAACAGTTCATTAGACAACCATACGCTCAATTTGGCCGCGAATTTGTGGCGGCGTGGCGGCCAGGGAGGCTATGTTGCGCTTTTTGCACTCCCAGGAGACTAGGGAGAAGGAAGTGACGTCAACAACGCAGCAAATGCAGATTGGGTGTTGATTTTGTTTTCTTCTGTCAACATCCAATCTGCGTTTGCTTTAGTCGTTGACGTCACTTCCCTCTTCCAAGTCTCCTGGGAGTGCAAAAAGCGCAACATAGCCCCCCAGGGCGACGTTTTGACCGGAAGCGGTTCGTTACAGGGCTGCGATTGTTCAAACATCGTTCAAGATTGCCACGTTGATCTCGGAAAATGGTTGATAATAATTCAGTGCAGTTGAAAAGTAACATGTATTCGTCTTTCATTCGTGTCGTGTAGCGTAATGTTGACAGAGATGCAACCTCACGAGTTCAATTGCCGAAGAAGCCTAAAACTACTTTTTGCCGCGGACGGCGCTCTTGCTGTGGCGGTAACGAGGCCTCCCCGTGACCTGGAACATAGAGCGTTTTCACGTGCCTTTCACCAACGTCCTTATTGGGTTGCGGGGGCCGCAGCCTCCACAGTTCGCCAAGTTATCGTGAAACGGAGTATAGAAGACTGCCAGAAATTTTAAAAGGAAAGATCTCGCATTAAATTTAAGAAGACATCACTTCGTTGTGGAAGACATTGCAAACATTATTTTGCCATCTGGTAACGGTGCTCGGAGGAAATTACTTCAAAGGATATTCCTGAATTTCCTTTAAGCCACTGAATACAAGGCCATCTAAGGAAGCACGGCAATTTTCTAAAGTGACGAACATAAGAAAGCGGTTTCGTAATGAATAATTCTACACCACACATCGTTTTTCTTTATTTTATCTTTCTTTGCGCTCTTCGTCTATTTTTTTAATTTTATTTTCCCATTTCGGAGCGAACAAAGCAAAGTCAGCTTATCGGCTAAACTAACCCTCTTCGAATTTCATACTTATTTCAATAAAACGACTCTCTCTCTCTCTTTCTAGAGTATTTTCTCATATTTCTTGAACTTTTCTGGAGACTGCCATTGCACAGAAAAAAAAAGAAAAAGAAAAACCCTTTAAAAGAAAGCTTATTTAAACGGAAGCTGAAGAGTTTCTTAAAAAAAAAAACAGATTTGAGGTATATTTTAGGGTATTTTTATCTCGTGAATCTAAATATCACGTTAGTTATCCCCGAAGATGTTACTAAGCGCGAAAAATAACAAGAAACCTTCGACCAGTCGTTACGCCATACTCAGTGGATCTTTCGGCGGCCAAGGACCTGTAGCTCGTGTGGGCAGCGCGCGTTGGTGTTCCACGCGCCACACGCGCACGCCTTCCACGTATAAAAGATTCGAAGTAAATAACCAAAATAATGCGTTGACGAACGCGCGTGCAAGATGTAATTTGTTTTTGGCATTTGCTTTAGGAAAGTTACTACTGCTGAGGCCAGCACGTGCGGCACGTGGAACACC